GGCGGGGAGGGAGAGCGCAATGACCCCGGCTGGGAGGGGGAAGCGGCAAGGCTGGGGGGATGGGCGGCGCACCAGTGGGGTTGCCAGGGTTGATAATGCAGAGTGCGCGTGGGCAGCAATGACCACGCGCCTGGCACAGGGCGCGCCGCAGCTCGGCCACGTCGAGTGCCCAAGCGCGCTCTTCGTCCAAGTAGTAGTCCACCTGCACAGCGTTGAGCTCGGCCAGCGCCGCTGAGTACAGCGGGTACTGAGGGATGGGGATGAGCACACCTGTGCGGGTGGGGCCCTCTCCGGCCACCAGCAACTTCAGCACCGTCTGTAGGGATGGGGAGGCAAGGTTGGTGGGGCCCACAGGGATTGCACCTGTTCCCCGCCCCGCCCGGAACCACAGTGCCAGGAGGAGCAAGGTCCGCCCAGCCGCACAAAAAGAGCCCTGGTGTCCTCCTGCCCTGGCCCTGGCCTACCACAATGGCGTCGCTGGCCCCGGTGGACAGGTAGATGTTGTTGGGGTCTGAGGGAATGCCTCCGTCGCGACGCTCGATGTACCGAGCTACATCCTCGCGGATCAGCTGGATGCCGGAGCTGACGCTGTAGGCCCCTGGGCCAGGGGGCAAGGCGGGACGGGGAGGAGAAGAGGACCCGAGAGGTTCCTTAGCAGTCCTCCAGAGTACCTCCGCCCCCTTCCAGCAGCAGAGCCCACCCCTCCCCTGGGAGGGCCTCCTGCCTGCTCCTCTCTGGGGCTTTGGCCGGTTTGGGCACTGGCACTTACCCAGGCTGTGTCCCCCACACGCCTGCAAGATGCGCTCAGCCTTTCTCTTGGCATCCTCTGGGAAGTCGGGGCTGTTCAGGAGATCAGGGTGGACACAGAGGGCCAGGACCTGGGAGCATCGGACACTGAGCCAGAGCACTTGGGCTGACTGGGGAGGAGCCCAGAGCCATGCTGAGCCTCACCTGACGCAGGAAGGTGATGGGCTTCTGCCCCATGGCCTGTGCATCCCCGATGTTGGCACGGATGACCTCAGTGAAGGGCTTCTTTACCCCCTGGGAGGGAGGGGGCACAGGCAGTGAGAATGGGCCGTCTATCACTCTGGCAGGTCCTTGTCCCGTGTGACTGTGGGAATGGGTCTGACTCAGCTGTCCAGGTGCAGCTGGAGGGCAGTGGCGGGGCCCAGGGCCATACCTGGCGCAGTTCCTGCTCCAGCTCCAGGGCACGCAGCACAATGGGACCGCGCACTGCGTACTCCACCCTCCGGACACACGGGTTCATGGTGTCCAGCGTCAGCACCTTCTCCTTCAGCCCGTTCATTGCAACCTGGCTGCGGTCACCTGCCCTCAAGGCCATGACCCTACTCAGACCAGGCAGGAAGGTCAGGACACGGCAGGATTCAGAAGTGGGGATAAGGGAAGCCGGGTCCAGACTCAGTGGGCCAGGGCTGGGAAGAGGGAGCCTGGGTAGAGGGGCTCAAGGTAAAGGGCACCCTCTTCGCTGCAGCCTGCTGGCCCCACTGAAAGGGACAGAAAAGGCTGAAGAAGAAGTCGGGGCCGCTGGGCCCCGCCCCACCCATCTGGGCACAGCTCTGCCCCAGGGAGCCATAGGGAGGGCATGAGGAGGCAGGCGGGGCTTGGGGCGAGGCCCGGTGCCCGCCCAGTGTCCCCATGACCGGGGAGCAGGAGACCTACATGGGGGGTAGGGACAGACAGAAGGTTCAAGAAGCTCTGAGGGACTGGGCCTGGGGGAGGGGAAGTGCGCTGAGTGCCCGGAGGGGTTGGCAAAGCTGGGCAGAGCTAAACCCCCAGGGGAAATGGAGCTGGGGCCCCTGGAGATTTACCCCAGCACGGCTCTGCCAAGGCCTAGCCCTCTCAGGCCCCCCATCTTTGCTTGGGCCAGCAGGCCTGTCTCCCAGGTAACTGAGTCAGGCCTCTACAGAATCCTGGCGTTACTGGGAGAAGGGAGCGAAAGCTCAGATGCGGGGTTCCATCTGGCCAGCCCCTCCTGGGCTGGCAACCATGGCCCACAGGCTGCAGGAGCCCTGCGGTTGGACCTTGGTCCCAGATCAGCAATTCGTGGAGGCCGGAGTCTCTGGGTTGGGTTGTTGCATGACAGGGTAGGGTGGCTCTGGGCCCTCGGACACCTCGGCTGCTCTGGGCTGCCGTTGTGCCCTTTCACCATGCGCCAGCCTGGAGCTGCCCTTGGGGCCACACCACAGGCAGGGTGACCTAAGCTCCCCTCCCCTGTTGCTCCTGATTGGTAGAGATAGTGGGAAGCGAGCTGTGATAGGCCCTCGGGGCCCCACCTCCCCAGGCCCTGAAGGGAGCTGATAGGCCATGCCCAGGGGTGGCTACCCCAGCTGCTGACATCTGACTCTGAGCGGAAGGTCAAGGAGCCAGCCCTCAGAGAGGCTGTGGGCAGCTGGTCAGGCCTGAGGGCGGCCTATGCCACGCCCAGGCCAGAGCACAGGTTTATACGGTCCCAGCCCCAGGCAGAGCCAGGCCCCTCCCACCCCTGGCAGCAAGGCCCAAGTGTTAACAGGTGGACCTTGGCGGCTGCACCGCCCCACACACTAAATTTAACCTGCGGCCCATCCCCTGGCCCTCCCCAGCCCTGCTGAGAACACCCCTCCAACCAATGATGCTCAGGAAAGGGTGGGCCCTGCAGACACGGGGCTGACTGGGTCAGTACCCACTGGGGAGGGGAAGGTGACCAGCACTGGTGGCCATGCAGAGCTGCCCACTATGGACAAATGAGCTAGCAGTGCCCCCAGCCCTCCCACTTGAGGCCCCTAAGGGGCCCCTGTCACCCTGACACATTGTGCCCAGCCGGCTCAGAATCTGGGCTGCCAACCACTGGCCCCCTTTGCCAGCCCAGTTGGAGGCTGGCAGCCAGGCCCCAGGACCAGGGCTACATGCCAGCAACGGGGGACTCTTCCCCCAGGGAGGTTCCTGACTCCAGCCTTGTACGGATTCTCCTCTCTGCGGCTCAAGAGTCTTGTGGAAAGCCCCCTCCCCTTCCAAGCCAGGATCCCTGCCCCTCTGGCATGGATACCCCCAGCCCTGACTCCCAAGGAATGTCCTTCCGGAGCTCCCGGCTCCTCCCAGGAAAGGAAGGAGTTACAGAGGAGCCTCCAGGAGACTGGGAAGGCAGGGAGGCAGGCTGCAGTGCAGGCCAGGCTTCTTGCCCCGCGGCCGGGGGCCTCACTCCCACGCAGGGCCAGGCAGCCACAAGCAAGCCCCTACAGGCCCCCGGAAGAGGGACAGGCACATCCAGAAGCAGCAACACAACAGCTCCCCACTCTCAGGACAGGGGCCCTGCTGACACACACACAAGGCAGGTGGCAGAACAGCCCTTTATCAAGAGTCATACGATGAAACTAGGTCTCTGCAGCCAGGTAACCCCCCCAGGAGGGCTTCTGCCAGGGGTTCATCCCTGAGCAAGGAAGCTGGCACCCTCGGATGAGGGGAACAGGGGAGGCCCTGCACGCGCTATCCCCCAGCAGCAGCACCAGGGCACACACCGGGGTCTCCAGAGCAGGGGCCCCGCGGCAGCCTCCAGCGGGGCCTGACAACAGGACTTTGGGACTCTGGGTGCCAGCCCCTCACATGAGCAGGCAGCAGGGCCTCTTCTCCATGGGGGCCTCCTCTGAGGGTGCTGTGAGCTTCAGCAGGGGCGGGTCTCCACCAGCCCCGGAGCTGCACTCCGGCTGGGGGCTCTCGGCGTCCGCAGGCAAGCCAGGCTCAGGGGCCTCACGTCCCTCAGGCAGGGGATGCTGCACCTTAGCAGCGGCTCGTTGGCGTTTCAGCTCTGCCAGCGTGTGGTGGGCCTTGGCCCGGACCAGGGCATCGGGGGTGCTGCTCTCCAGGGGGCTCAGCTGGTAGGAGATGCTCCGGTCCGGCCGCTTGGAGTGCAGGTGCTGCCCTGGGGTGCCTCCAACTCGGCCATTGTGCGGCCTGGCCGACTCGGGGTCGTCGTCCTGCTGGGGAAGCATGGGCCTCAGAGGCCATCAGGAAGGCCTTCTCCGGCCTCCCTTGGCCGCCATGGGCCCCTGGCTGGATGGGAGTCAGGGGGCAGAAATGAGCTTGCTGCACTGGGCCCAGGGTGGTGGGAGAAATGAGGCGCCGAGGTCAGGCCACACACAGAGGGTAGCGCCCAGGCCCACAGCCACCATGCTGGAGGTGGACGGCGGGGGGCTCACCTCGTCGGGCACGGGTCGCAGCTCCGCGTCCGTCTGGCCATCCTCGTCCTCCTCGGGCGGCTCTGGGCTAGTGGGCGGTGGCTGCTGCCACACGATGGCCTCCTGGGCATGCTCCCTGCGGTACAGGCTGGTGCGCTGGGTCAGGCTCACCCTCCTCACCACCTTCCTGCGGGAGGGCACAATGAGGGTGGGGGGCGGGTGCCACTCGCCCTGCGGACTCTGCAGCCACGTCAGCAGGGGCCAGGGCTGGGCAGAGCGGGGGGAGGTGGGGGTGTGGGCGGGCTGCCTGCCGGCCAGGGCGAGACACTAGGATCGGCCACGGGCGCTCACCCTCGACTGCCCGCGCTCGAGGTGCGGCGGCGCAGCAGAGAGCGCCGGCGGCCCTGGGCGCGCAGGAGCGCGTCGTGCTTGTGCTTCAGCTCCAGCAACTTGGTCCGCACCTCCTCATCCCCGCACACGTCTAGGAGAAGTGGGCGGGGGGTCAGCGGTGCCCTCTCACCCACCCTCTACACTGGCAGAGGCGGCCCCAGCTCACCGAGAGGCGTCTCGCCCGTCAGAGACTTCCCGTTCAGGTCGGCCCCGTGTGCCACGAGCAGCTCCACCAGATGTACCTGAGGGCCGGGGAGCCCGGGCTGCTGAAGGGCCCGGGGCCAGGAGCCAGGGCAGCCCCGCCCCCGCCGGGCCGGCCGCCCCCCACCCCGCACTCACCTGGCCCCAGTAGGCTGCAGCGTGCAGCGGCTCCCAGCCGTCCTGGTCCTTGGCGCTCAGGCTGGCCCGGTGTTCCAGCAGCAGGGCAGCTGCCTCGCCAAACCCACTGGCGGCCGCGATGTGTAGCTACGGGCAAAGCGCTCAGCCCTGAGTCCCCGCCGTGCCCCTCCAGCAGCAGCCTCCCCACCTGCACCTCACGTGGCCCATCCTCACCAGTGTGGCCCCATGGTCCTGGGGGCCATCGATGTCGGCTCCCGCCTGCAGCAGGCTGCGGATGTCGTCCAGCATGCACAGCTCTGGCAACGCCCGGGCCCCCTCAATGCGGTCCTGGGTGACGCCTGAAGGGCAGCGAGCTCAGCTGGCGCCCCAGGCACCCTGCGTGGGCGAGCGGGGTCCCACTCACCGCTACTGGCCATGGCTGTCTCCAGGCAGTCCAGCGTCTGCTCATCCTCACAGAGGTCGTAAGGCATGTTCCCATCAGTGTTGACGGCCAGGAGGTCGGCACCACTGCAAGAAGAATGGACAGGGGCTTTGGCCACAGAGCCTTTCTCTCCCAGGGAGGCCTCTAGTCCACCCTCTGCGGAGGCCCTCAGCCTGGGGCTGCTCTCCAGGACAGTGCGGGTCACAGATGGAGGCGGCCCAGGCCCCTGATGCCCCTCAGCTCTGGATCCTGCCCTCAAGCCAGTTAGGCCACCCCCCAGTCTCCACCCGTGTCTGAGCTCCAGGTTCCACACCCATGCACCCCTGTCAACCCACACAGTGGGCCCACCAGCCAGGAGGGGGTGCCAGGACTCTAGGAGCCTCAGGGAGCAAAAAGTAGAGGAAGGAGGAGAGCCTGGATGCCAGGAGAGAGCTGCAGGGAACAAGGCTCAAGCAGAGGCACGGCCAGGGGGAGGACAGGGAGCTGCAGAGGAGCGCAGAACACAAAGGTGGGTGCCCACTCTACAGCATGTGTGTGTGAAGGGAAGAGACTGCCAACCACCCACACACCCACCATCAGCACCTAGACCACACCAAGGAGAGCCTGAGCCCCTGACCATCTGTTCTGCTGTGGGGGTCAGAGTTGAGGGGCCGTGGCAGTGGGGGGAGTTCCTGGACGCTGGTAAAGCCGACCACCCCTCCCGTTCACCAAGAAGCCCTGCCCTGCTCCAGCCTCCTTGTCAAAGGCCCCGTCCATGGCCAGGTGCCCCCTCCGTCTTTGCCAGTGCTGCCCTCATCACTCTGGCCAGAAGGGCATGTCGGTCAGACCCCAGGGAGACCAGAGCTAGAGGCCAAGGCCCACCCTCGAGGAGTTCCCAAACTCCTAAGGGGGCTTGGCAGGAGGATGCGCCCAGGAGAACCACCACACTTCTCCGAGTACATGCTCATTCCCTTGTGTCTGCAGCCTCTGCCCAGGCCCTGATCTCCATGCCAGGGTGAAGTCAGGGTAAGCAAAGGTGAGTGGAAACACATGAAGCAAGGGCCAAGCATGCTTCCTGCAGAGGAGACACCTGGGCTGTGTCTCAGGATGAACTCCTGTCTGCAAGGAAGGTCCTGCCTCTCCTGACCCAACTGCAGCCCCTTCCTGATACAAACGCCCACTCTGGCCACACTGACGGGGCCCTACCGGGCAATGAGCAGCTCTACCAGGTGCAGGTGGCCACAGGTGGCCGCAGCATGCAGGGGTGTCCAGCTCTCACTGTCGCAGGCATTGACCTTGGCCCCAGCCTCTAGGAGCTGCTGCACCATCTCCCGGAAGTCATCGATGCAGCTCTACAAACCACAGAGCCTGAGTGCCAGAGCCCAGGCCAGCGCCCCCTCCTCTCCCACCCCCTCCCCGCCCGGCATGGCTGACCTGGTGCAGGGCCGTCAGGCCATCCTCATTGGCCAGGTCGGGGCTGACCCCACTCTCAAGGAGCTGGCGGACTGTGAGAAGGGGGAGGAGGGAGTGTGGTAAGAGCGCAGAGAGAGGTCCGGCCACAGGCCAACACTGTTCTAGTCGGGGTGCAGGGTACCTGAGGGTACCCGGGCTGACCGCTGTGCTGCAGCTGGGAGCAGGGAATACCGAGGAGGACAGAGGTGCAGGGGGCCAGAGGGACCCCCGAGCCCAGGCTGAGGGCTCAAGAGCCGGGCACTGGGTCTCTGTCTGCCCCAAGTCCACATACACAGCATGCTCCTGCCTCCAGCATCAAGCAGGACCCATCCCCCTGAATCCCGACACTCCAAGCCTCAGGCTCCTGAGGACAGTCCCCGGCCGGGGTTCTGGCACCCTCCCCCAACAATACCCTCACTGGGTCCCATGCTCCCCCAAGCCTTTTCCACTAGCAGAGCGTTTGAACCCTACACATGCCCCAGCCCAGAGCAGGCCCGCAGTGTGGGCCCAAGGCATCCAGGCCTGTCCCCTCCAGGGTCTCCCCTCAGCAGAGCTAGTCCCTGTCCTCATCGTTCAGTGGGCCCAGGCTGTCGCCAAGGTCACCGTGGACCTCCTTGACGGCCTGGCCCTCTCAGACTGTGCCCCACAGGCAACAGGAGGACTCACCCTCCTTCCCACAGCCATGGCCTGCGGCACGCCCACCACACCCTCCTCTACTTTCCCTGCCCTGAGGCACTGCCCGCCCCTCCTTGCCCTCTGCACCCCAGCCTCTGCCCTGGAGGAAAGCAGGAAGAGCCCTCCAGAGCCTCTCCAGGAGAGAGAGGGGCTGTGAGCACACAGGGTTGCCGGGGAGGAATGAGGAGCCTGCCAAAAGCTCAGGCCTGTCATCTAGCCAGGAAGGTCCTGATGGGGAGGAAGAAGTCAAAGAGGGGGCCTGAGGCAGGTGTCAAGGGGGCTGGCCTGTGGGGGGCCCCTGCCCCCGCGCTCTAACCTGCTGAGGTGGGGCGCTACCGTCCTCCTTTACAGAGGTGGAGACTGAGGACCCAAGCAGGTGGTGGCCAGGACTCTCCTGATCATCGCCCAGCACCCACTCCCAGCCCACCTGACGAAGCCCTGGGCACTTGTCCAGGCTCCTGTGGGCTTGCCCGATGCCCCTGCTCAACCCCCCGTCAGCCTCACCCCTGCAGCAGCACCCTGTGCATGCTGCCCCATCACGGGCTAGCCTCAGGTGGCCCGCCACTTAGAGCATGCCCCTGAGGATGCCAGGCCAGCCCCTGGGCCTCCACAGGATGGCACTGTGCCCCGGGGCTCAGCCACGCTCACCTTCTTCCAGGTCATTTCGGGCAGCAGCCTCTAGAAGGGTGACACTGGGAGGGAAGAGGACCCGCTTCTGTGGCCTGCCACGGGCTGCCTCCTTCCATGGCTGCTCCCGATGGCCCTTCTTGCCCTGGGCCTCCTTCTCAGCCTGGGCCCACATCTTCACCTGC